CGTTAGTCCTAAGGTGGGACTCATCTCTGAGTGTCTTCTAAATGGATCTGGAGAGTCATTCCTAATGGAAACGGTGCAGCCACATCTTCAAGGCTGGAATAAAAATCAGAATGGAGCCCAAAACTGAAACAGTCAGAAAGAGCCACAGGAAGATCCGGTCAAGAACTTGAGCCACAAATTTCCAGTCTTGCACTACCTGCAAAAAAGAAAAAGGCACCTGTCATTCCAGAAGCTGAGCAGCTCTCTTGAACTCATTAAGAGATGTAGAAAGAGCAATATTGGATTTATGACACATTTTTAAGCTTTCAAAATGTATATGCACATCACTAATGACATGGACTTAGATATAACCAGGGATGTTGTTCATCATATCCCAAGAAAATAACTTACAAGTTGAGTGTTTAGGAACACTTATTACAGTGAAGATGTAAAACAAAAACTATAGAATTATTTGTATACTTGGAAATATTGCTAATCAAACACACACACACACAAAAAAAAAAAAACACCTGATTTTTATACAATGCTTCCTGATGTGCCTATCACAAATGGATATCTTTAGAGCACTTTTAGGTAAATATCACAGGATTTTCCTCCTACTCCACATGTGGCCATGGCTCCTCTAGCTCCAGAAGACAGGACTGAGGAACAGAGGAAATGACAGTTGGGACATTATAAGAAAGGGTTCTATGGAGACTTTAGTTAGGCTGGGATGTCATGGGGGAATAGGTACCAGGTGTGGAGCAGCAGGTCCAGGAAGGAACAAGCCATAGGCTAGAGAAACCTGCAAGAGAAGCATGGGATCTCACCTTTAAAGGGACACAGAGTCCAGTTTCTATACATGGTCTCAAGCTTATAGCAGTTCCCCTGGAAGCTTTAGAGTATGATCACAAAAAAGAAAGCACACTCAGTTGGAACCACTTCAGATCTTGAAAGAGGAGAGAGGAGAGGGAAGCAGATGGGGGAAGGAGAGGACCTGCTATATTCTAAGGACACACAGTTTCATCTCCCCAGGAATCTTGAAGCAGTACTGAGCCTCATGATAGATTGCCAGGGGAAACCAGGACACTGTACAGGGAATTGCTAACCAGTTGAGTACTGTGATCAACGTTTTCAGTTGCAGTACCTGTAGACAAGGATTTGGTAAAGACGGAATAGAGCAGGAGGCCCACCCGCTGGCAGAAGGGGGACAGCAGGCTGTCCTGAGCTTTCCAAGTTTAGAAACAAAACTGTAGCATAAAACGCACAAGCAAGAGCAAAATGCTAGAATGTTAACCTTAGGTAGTGGGATTACTAGTGATTATGATCCTCTTGTCTGAGTTTTTCAAATTATCTGTGCTGGTCATACTTTTTAAAACCCACTTAAGTATTTATATTAGTATTTACAAAAGATATAAAAAGTAAAACAGAAACTCCTTCCCTAATAGCTGAAGCATATCTGGAAGAGAAGGTGTTTTTCTAGTCTTTTGTTTTTAAATCAAAATCCTTAATTGTACGAAAAATATGATAAAGAGTTAAGAGAGAAAATGAATCACACTGAAGCTATGAAGACAAGATAAAATATAAAGTGTGCTTCCAAAAACACTTTCATAAACCTGTTCATGAGCCTTGATCTAATTTTCAAGAATTTTAGAGTAAAATGACCCAAACCCTGCCTGTAGATGGTGCAGAAATAAAGGCTACTTTCAGCCTGTGTACTGACAGATTTTGTCATTTTTTTTTCCCTTGTCCTGTTCTTCAAGGTAGGTTCAAAAAAACATGAAGTTCTGACAATGTGACATGTCACACAGGAGAGGGGTGGATGTGGCCAGGGTGGTGGTGCCTCTGCAACCTAGGCATTTGTTTCCGAGACACGATCTCACTATGTGAACCATGTCGATCTCAGACTCTGCATCTTCAGCTTCCTGGGTAGCTGGGATCCCAGGAGGGAATCACCTGTCCTTGATTTTCTGTAATGTCTACACTAAGTAACCAGTTCCCTTTCCCTTGATGAAGTATCTGTTGCAACTGAACTTGTATTACTTTTCAAATTTTGATTCTTTCTAGTCATGAAACACATTTCTAAACACTGGGTTTAAAAACATCATGGGGGGGGGGGGGCATGCCTTTAATCCCAGCCCTCGGGAGGCAGAGCCAGGCGGATCTCTGTAAATTCAAGGCCAGCCTAGTCTACAGAGTGAGTTCCAGGAAAGGTGCCAAAGCTACACAGAGAAACCCTGTCTTGAAAAAAAAGAAAGAAAAACATCATAGCATGAAGCAGTGAAAATTACCACAGATCAGGGTAACCCCTTTAAAGGTGCAATTGAATTCTTTAAAATGCAGTTGAGGAATTATAGCCCTGAATCTGCAGCCGCTTAGTTTTAGTCATGATGCTTCCTTCTGTGAACTTTTTTTTTTCTAAAAACTTAATGCTAAAAGTTCCTATGGTTTGCTGGGCTTGTTTTATATGCCTTACAGAGGCTAGGTGATAACGCCATTGTGAACGAGGACCACATTCTGTTTTAAGGGACACCAGCGTGGCTTTCTGGCCCGCTCCTCAGCGACCGCACTGTCACAGCACAGCAGACTCACCTGGCTGATGAAATGCTCCTTCTTCACGTGCCTTGAAATGTATCTGATGGACTCAGCCGCCCTTTCCAGGAAAGTGACCAGAACTCTTTCTCCATCACTAAGAGCCGTCTGCTTCCTTTTCCCTGAGACTTTGCCTCGCACGGCTGCTTTCCTCTCCTCTCCATCGGGGAAAGAGAAGCGGTCCATGGGGTCCTTCATGCAAAGCCATCTCGGGAGTTTTTGCAGAAACAGCCTCTTCACCCAGGGGGCCATGGGATGGTAGGTTGAAGAAGATCTGTGGTGAACGTTAATGACGAAAACTGTGACAATAATGGACAGGGTAACAAAAATCATAATGAAGAGGAGGTACTCGCCGATGAGAGGGATGACTTTCGAAGAAGACGGGATTATTTCTTCAATTACTAAGAGAAACACCGTCAGAGAAACCAAAACCGAGGTTGAGAGTGAAAGCTTTTCCCCTTCATCAGAAGGTAAGTAGAATACCAGGACCGTGAGAAAAGACAGCCCCAGGCAGGGGATTATCAAAAAGAGCGTGTAAAACAACGGCAGGCGTCTCAGAACAAAAGAGTAGGTCACAAACGGGTAGGAATAAAAACCTTCTCTTCTGTTGCCCTTCATCCCCTTTGCATTTAGTATCTCCCACTCTCCGTTATCAAAAAAGTCTTTCCCGGTCAACATTTTCGTCGATCAGAATGAGGTCGACCATGCTCCCATCGTAAGTCCAGGAT